AAAAAAAAAAAAAAAAAAAAAAAACAAAAAAAAAATAAAAATAAAATTTTTTCTTTTTTTTTTTTTTAAAAAATTTTATATTTTTTTTTTTTTTTTTTTTTTTTTTTTTTTTTTGGCTCACATAAAATCTGATTACTGCACATTTTTAGAAAGTGTCTGTACTCCTACCGCCTTGTTTCGGATCATTTGTTCTGATCTGCTAACCAGTTTTATGTATGAGTAGATGCTTATTGACATCAAGGAGACGTCATTTAAAACACGAATCAGCACTTCTTAAGGGGGAGAAAGGTTCTCCACTGACTAATAACATAACTTTTTAACAGTTCTCAAGTTTGGACTCCCAGATCAACAGTTCTCACCTCAGAGCTCCACCTTTACCCCCGAAAAACGCCTCTACCTCAGACTGCCCATCTCCTAAGCCGTTTAGCAGACATTCTCACTCTTATGATGTGAGTTTGCTCATTTACTCGCTGTACAGATTATTGATGAGATAAACTGATATAATCTTTCTGACCCGATTTTCCTTTCTCTGCAGGCGGCATCTGAGAGACCAGAGGCGAACAGGTAGGACACGACTGCTTATGTACAGAGCAGATACATCCCGACACGTCAGAGATGTAGCACTTAAATATGTAATTCTTGTAATTTATCCTTGTGGTTTGATTTACAGTAAGTTGTTAAAAACAAACAAACAAAAAAAAAAAACCTTGAAAGGCGTATACAACTCTAAAAGTCACAGTATTTAACTGTAAAATGACTCAGCATGTTGTAGGCAGATTTTGACAGTATTGCTTTGATTTGTTTTAATTTGGCTGCACACATATATATTCTAAAGACTATTTGCAGTCGTCAGAGAATTTAAGATAAATAAACCAATCTAGCTAAAAAATGAAAAAAGTGGCACATTTTTCATGCTTTTTGACATTGTCATGCTTGTTTTTGTCTTCACCTTTTTCATCTGTCTGTTTGCTGGTCTTGTTGCACATCTTCTTGCATTCTGTCTCTCGACTGCTAATAAGTTTACATTCAGCAAAACAATGTACATTCAGTGCTGTCATGATATGGATGAAACTGTTTTCACTTTTAGAAATGCAAAGAATAATCTCAAACATTATTAATGAATAAGAATAATTACACCGTTTTTACACAAATGACTTAAATTTATCTTGAAAATTTGTTTAAATAAGCTCCGTAATATTCTTTTTATCGAGTTTCATTTCGATTGCTTGTAGTTTTTTATTTGCAAATATTTTCATCTGGATTAATTTTTCATTTAAATTCCTTTTCAAACAGTTCTGGATTCTTCGGCGAAGCAGATTCTTCTGCTTCCTCTCAAAAGGCTACAGACTGTAAGTTATAACCTTGATCCTTCAAACGTTAATCCACAGTGCAAGGTTATGTGCAACGTACTATTTTAAACCAAAAACACTGGAATTGAATTTTCAAACACAGCACAGTCAAGCACAGTTCAAAAATAATAACATTCCTACATCTAAAACCGGATCCGTCGCTGTTTTGATAGAAAACATATATTTTACTCAGCAAGTAATTGACTATTAGGTATTGTAGCTATAATAAAAGCATACAGTGCTAACAGTCATGATTGCTGCTGATTGTAGGAAACTGGATCGTTAAATGAGAGCCTGTGTCAATGATGAGTTCAGTTATTGAGGTTGTTTATTGTGAGAACTAACATGTGTCAAATAAGTGAGATTTATTCAAAGTAAAGGCAGTATGCATTAATTTTAAAAAAGTTTAGTGGAAAGGGGAAACAATTCAAGAAGAAGCAAAAAAAAAAAAAAAAATAGGGTGCTATGCTCAAATGACTTAAATTATTTGCTTAACATGTCTTTGGAAACAGATTTTTACTACATATCTTTTGGTCGGTTGTTGTCTTGAACAACAAGTGGATTAATGCAAATATCCATTATATATAAATGATGATTCATATTGTCCAAATCTAATTTTGTCTTAAAAATCAAATGTGCAAGGTCTAAATTAAGCTTGTGCCATCTTCTGTAAAACACTGGCTTAACCACTTCCTGTTTCAGTCAGAGGGTTTGGTGTTAATGCAGGAAGTGCAGCAGACCATTTCTGCTGAAATTACAGCACATTGTATTTGGGTTTCTCTTGTATAATACAAGAGGCTATTTTCCAAGTACATGTTACTTCGCCTAAAATGCAAAGAAATGTATTGTATTAAACAGATGAGAAGAACTAGATACTGCTGTTCCAACTGAAATAAATCAGCAGTGACATGCCAGAATCGATTGGTTCAAAGCCAAAACTTGAAGAGGAAACAAAAATACACATAAATAGAGACAAAAGGTTTTGAGCATAGTGAAATGGAAAAAAAATGAGGCTAATTTAGACTACTGTACCACAGCTGTGCTACTTATGAGAGTGGCACATTACAGTGACCTATTTTGTTTTTTTGTTTTTTTTTGGTTGTTTGTAGGCGCAGCAGCATGGGCCGGACCTTCCAGTCCAGTCCAAGAGAGAAGACGCAAAGAGATGGAGAGAGGCGTAGCAAGGCTCAGAAAAGACAAAACTGGCTTGGGAGAAATAACAAGAACTATGTCCTCCTGATTGAAGAAACAGAACGGCAACATCTGAAGTCTAGGAAATGTTTAACAAAGAAGCAAGAGGGACCTGAGATAACTTTTACAATAATAAGACTTAAGTGAATGTAAAAAAAAATACAAAAAAAAGAAGGGGGTTATCTCATGTCTGAATGGCCATGCCTGCTGCAAATAGTTATGGTCAGAAGTTTACATCAGCGCTTCATCAACAGGAATATGGTTTTCATTGTGGGTTTTTCCTTATTTGCTTAAATTATTTGTTATTTTCTGGTGGACTGATAACACACCATACAACTGTAGTGTTTTTTTTTGAAGCAAGAAGTAGATGCACAAGTTTAGATTTATTTTTGGATTGTCCCTTGTCCTCTCAGTGTCAAGCAGGTATAAAAAGGCTGAAATATTCACATGCACCCCCTCTATTTTTACGTCCGTTAGCAAGTTGCAAAGAAGCTGTCACTTTTGTAGCTAGCTGCAAGGTCATGGCATAATTCTCGCTGGATATTTGATCACTATTTATTCAAAATATGAAACTACTAATTTCATTTGGTTGATTTAGTGGGTAGAATTGAGTAATTAATCACAGTTTCTTTAAAGCTGACTGTATCCAGTTGTTGTGGCAACTGTTGGAGAGTTCAAACTTTATACATCTGACCCAAACACACATTCAGATTGATGAAATAGTTTCAAAAACCAATGGCCATCATGAATTTGATGATTATGAAAAAGGACCATGGAGTGAGAGGGTGTCAAAAAAAAAATTGAAGCTGCCAACAAGGACAAGACAAAGACAAACCAGTCTCACAGTGTGACCAAGAATACTTAGAGGAGTAAAAATGAGGCCATTACATGTAAGAATATTTCACCCCCTGTTAAGCATGGTGGTGGCAGTATTATGTGGAAGGTTGGTACTGAGACTGCTGTAGCTGGCGCTTTGCACAAAGAAGGTGAATTGATGAAGGCTACCTCCAGCTCCTTATACTTCATCCAGTTGGTTAAACACGGACATTATAGAGTGATGATTACTAGCACACATCAAAACTGGTTTTTAAATGACTAAAATTGTCTAACCTTAAACTTCTGGACTGGCCAAAAACTCAACACTGTTGCTCATTTGTGATAATCCAACTGTTTTGAATGAGTTCTAACCTTTTTTTTTTTTTTTTTTTTTTTTTTTTTAAAATTTGGGGGGAAAAATTTTTTTCAAAAATATTTCCGGGGGGTTTTTTTTTTTTCAA